AAGCTCTTTGGACCACCTTTTTATAAAACCAAGCGCGGACCTAGCTTTGCTAATCGAGAGCTCAATATGCAAGTTAAAACGTAACCTATGGTCAAATAGGACGCCTAAATCCGTAATCGAATCGACGTCCTCCAACTTATGCGAATCTATGAAATACTGAGTAATGAATGACTTTCTTCTTGAGAATGAAAGCTTCTTACATTTACTCAGATTTAGTTGCAGGAGATTCAAAGAGCACCATGCAACAAAATTATCTAAATCACCTTGAAGCTGATGTGATTGCGATTCAACAGAGAAGGAAGAAAACAGTTTCACATCATCAGCATACATTAAGATCTGGCTGGAATTAACCACCGATGGGAGATCGTTAATGTATAAACTAAATAAAATGGGACCCAAGTGACTTCCTTGAGGTACGCCAGACGTAACGGGGAATTCATCCGAGCTAATGAAGTTAAACAAAACTCTGAAGGATCTATTGTGCAGATAAGAGCTTATCCATTTCACTAAGTAGGGTGGGAAACCAGAGGCTTGGAGTTTAAAGATAAGTAGTCTATGGTTAACCAAATCAAATGCTTTGCTTAAATCAGTGTAAATAACATCTGTGCGAGAGCCACTAGAAAAAGCCTTGAAAACATGACAGGTAAACTCTAACAAGTTGGTGACTGTAGATCGCCCTTTCCGAAAGCCGTGCTGGTGCGGAGAAATATACGAATTAATGGCAAAGGCTAAATGCTGAGTCACAATACGCTCGAACAACTTGGGCAAGACACTCAACTTGGCTATGCCTCTGTAGTTCTCAACAAATTGTCTACTTCCACTCTTGTGGATAGGAATAAGGAAACTACTCTTCCAACATGAAGGGAAAACACCTGAACACAAGGACACGTTAAAAATCTTTGAGATCACACCACACAACTCGACAGCGCAAGATTTAAGTACACATGATGGAATTCCATCAGGTCCAGGCGAACAACTGTATTTTAGAGAACTTAACCCTTTGAAAACATCATCTTCCGAAATAACCAAGTTAGGTATTGAAACCGAGTTAGTTATAGGGTATGGGTAGTTTCCTGATAACTCAAAATTAGCAATCGAAAAGTTTCGTCGGAAATACTCAGCAAATAGATTTGAGATTTCAAAATCATCCGAGGAACCAGAGCCATTAAAAGAAACATGAGAGGGATATGTGGAAATTTTTCTTTTAGAGTTAACAAATTTAAAGAAGAATTTTGGATTAGCAAACAGAGAGGATTTAATGAACTGAAGGTATCTGCAGTAATAATGATGGTTGAGGGAGTTAAATCTATGCCTCGCCACCGAGTAAGCGACATAGTCGAGCGCAGAGCCACTTTTCGAATATTTTTTGAATAGCGAGTTTTTTCTATTCTTGTGATATTTAATTGTCTTATTAAACCACGGGGAACATCTGCTTCGAGGTCGACAATGCTTGATCGGAACAGATGCAGCAATAGCTAGATTTAATGTATTGTAGAACGATGGCATTAAGTTTTCAATACTACCGGTTGAGAAATCAAGCGTCAGATGTGAAAGACGATGTTTTAGTAATACAATATTGATTTTATGAAAATCATAATAATTATTTAAACAAGTTTGAGTTGGCACATTAAGGCATTCCAACAAACCATCATTAATATGATGAAAGGAAATGCATATTGATGGATGATAAGGATCCTCAGGTAAACTAAAAGGTGGGCAACGATTTACGTAAATCTCGGGAAAATTGGCAAAGCAGAGATCAAGCAGTCTACCATTACAATTAGGGATACGATTATATTGACCCAAATTATGATCAAACAATTCATTAAAGAACACAACAGCCCTATCAGACGTTGAAGTAGGAACCAAACAGCCAGAATTATCAGTGTTACACCAAGTGACTTGAGGCAAATTGAAGTCACCCAATGCAACGACCAAATCGGTGGGTCTAGACCGCTTGGCCACTTCACAAATGAGGGCAGCGTGTTTCCCGTAAATGGAGATATCAGAATTTGGGGGAATATAGGAGCAGGTTATGAATAGATGTTTATCAGGCATATTCGCACGAATAGCGATAAATTCAACGTCAGGAGAAGTGGGAAATTCAATTAAATTGGACGGGACTGACGCAGATATGGCAATTAATACACCACCACCAATGCGATTTACTCGATCATTTCTAAACACTTGGAAAGAATTATGAAAAAGTTCCGACGAATGTAGATCGGGTTTTAGCCAGGTTTCAGTAAAGGCCAAACAGAAAAATTCCGTGCTCACTGAATTTAGAAAAGTGGAACGAATTTTCGAATTTAGGCCCCTAACATTTTGATAAATGAGAGATAGTGGGCCTGAAGAAACAATTAGTTTTTTGAAGGCGACAAGACTATTGCCTTGGTATTACGGGGACGATCACGAGGGATAAATTCCTTAATTAAGGATCCTACCGGCCACAGTGATTTATTTAACAACATATCACTGTTTTCAGTCGGAACTAATATTTTAAAAGAGGAGATTGCCCTAGCTTGAGAAGGAGCCATTTTGAAGATGCTAACACGCTTTAAGTTGACTAATGGGACTTTCGTCGCCAGATAACCTTTTATGTTATCCACCGATGTTTCAGGTGTCAGTCTTGACACAAATATTGCTTTTCTGGGAGGAACTGCCGTCAAGCAAATGTCATTATTTGGAACAGGAGGGGGGTTCACAGTAGGAGAGTTTCGAGTTGGGGAAAATATAGATGGGGTTATCGCCCTTGTACCGGCAGCTTGTGAGACTTGCTATTAAAGAACATAACATATACTGCAATGATGAGTGTGCCATACCTAACTAAGGTAAAATCAACTGCAATGTTCATCGCAACGACAAGTATTCTGTGCAAGAGCCAATGTGATATATAGGGCTGTAGATTTAGCACAGTTCGTATGAAATCCTCCAGATCGTTAGCTATGACAGCCGCCAGTTTTTTAGCATTTTTGCTAACAAGTCTGTTTCCACGAAAAGCTGCGGGGAAAGGGCGGATGACCATGTCCTGAGATTTGCAACATGGAAAAGGAGAAAGGTTAATGAAGCTAAAACGTTTGTGGACGAGTAATGTCGGCAGATGAAATAATTTATTCGACAATCTGTTAAATGCTGAGGAGATTTGAGGCTATCACGGGCTCGAAATACGGAATAACGGCTTCTTGATTAAATGCCTCCGGAAGTCAAACCAGTTACAATGGTATTTAAAAAATTAATGTCATCTGTATTCCAGAATACAAATCGGATAGTACGCCTTAACAGGCTAAACATAGCGCTGTCAAATGTCATTTTAATCATATAAAGCTATTATTCGCTCGTATATCAAAAAAATTCGAATGAAGGTCGTTTGATCCCTGCACACATGCCCTTATCATTCAACTTTTACGTACATCCAGAGCATTTCGAAAGACATTGACCAGCTCACGGCAGCACGTATCGAATTATTGTAAGCGAGCAGTGCAGTAAGGCAGTAAGTGTAACAAGATATTAAGTGTAGAGTTATTGAAGAGTGTACTGTTCGCCGAATTATTGAAATAATTGATGGACCTTTTCAGAGTTTTTTGAAATTTTAAATGACATCATAGCAGTGTATCGAAAGCAGCGAATGAAACGTCCTTGATTCTCTTATGTGGTTTTAAATTAACTCCGAAAGGAGAAAAAAGTGTAGCCTTACTTAGCGCTTCAGTAACGGTTCGCATTTAATTCAACTTGCACTTCCTGTGGTACTTTCCGTTTCTTTATAATGTATTAGTCTCACGAACGGAAGAAATGAAAAGTGCAATAATTCAAGTGTATGCTTAAGCAGCCAACATGTTAAATGGCTCAATGACGGAATCAATATGAGGAAACCCACACATAATCATAATTCAATTAACCCACTGGTGAGAAATGCAGGAAAATACAATATTTGCTCTTCAAAAAAAAAAAAAAAAAAAAAATTTTACTTTCTTGTTGTTTGGCTAATGGCGCTCGATCCCAAAACAGTTTTCTCAGATGATTGTTTATGTTAGTAATTCATGGTTGTGACCATGTGGCGATGTTTTCCTCTTTTTTTTATCCCTCTATTGCAGTTTGTTATTCTTTTATTTTAAATGTTCGTTTGTTCTTCGAATGAAGCATATATGCAGGTGTCCGTTCTATAGTAAGTTATATCTCAAACACGCTACACGATACAGCACGATATGAGCGTGACCGTGTTATACGAAAGACGAGTGTGCGTGTTTGTTAACCTCAATGTAAGCAAACACATAGATAAGAATAAAAAAGATCATATAAGCAGTTTTCTCAATCGCTCACTACTCTGGCCACCAAGTTAATGGGCACAATTAACTCCATTTATTAAAGTAAAGAAAGGGAATCCAAATATATTTCTATACAAAAAAAATTAAAAAATCTTAAATTCAAATTTTCTAACGTTTGAATTTGTCTTGGCTTCCTTTCAAAATATTGAAAGCCTTTCTTTCCTAGCAAGCAGTGAACGTGAAGGCGGAAACCAAGAGAAGGAGAAATAATAAAATTAAAATTATGTGCAATGGGAAAATGGGAAAATTCTGCCATAAAGAAGCAGTTAACCTTAGATAGCGTGCAACCTTAGCATATATATTCTATGTATATATTTCACTATTCATGAACTTTAGAATATACTGCAAAATCCACGACCAACACGTTATGACTAAACGATTTAATGCTTTTGCAACAAAACCGCTTAATTATAATAAAAGTAACCGTTAAATTTGAGAAGGATTTGCGCTTATGTCTTATTAGAGAGCTTCATGCTAAGGTGCGATACGACAGACAAACTTTATTATGTCGTGCGTTATTAAAACAAATATGTACGCGAGCACCATAAGAAATAAGACAATTAGTTATTATGAAATAAAACAAGAAAAAGCATAAAACAACACGCTCTCTGCCTCTTCGCTAAAATTAACTTTAATTTATTTCTTTTTATTTACAGAATATATAAATTAAATTTTTCTTCTTCTTCTGGAAGCGTTAGAAAACTGTCAATGGATTTAATGTTTCACTGCGCATTTTTTTTGGTTTCCACCGTCTTTCTAATGCACACAACGGCATACGTTATTGGCTCTTCCAACGTGGCCACCAAACTAACTGACCCTGACGATGTCTTAACAATAGGGAAAATGTCGTTTTTGGAACCAACACGAAGGGGAAAATTTGTATTTAAACCTCAAGACTTGAAAGAATATGATGAAAGAACGGTTTTTGATCCTGGCGATGGTAAGTTATGGCCTGTGATCCACAAAATTGATAATTTACATAAATCAATTTAATAAATGCGTCGAGGACTTGCAATAAATTTTGTATGCACAAAACCGCAACCTTTTTTCTTTCCTTAACAGTTGCAAAAAATTTTAGTATAGAGCAGTCAGCTTCTAAATGGATGTTAATGTTAAAGACAATTAGGGAAATTACATTCGGCTGCCGGCGAAGCTTTTACACCTATAACCTTCCCCGTTGAAAAAAATCACAAAAATTTAAATATTGATACACTTTACTTTTGAGCGAATGTCGCTGATTTTCCACTTTTTGTACACACACTTTGGATTGATGCACAGAATAGACGTGGAAATATTTATCACTCAAATTATTGTACGATATAAATAAAAACCAATTCTTTGGCTTTCGGAAACAACGGTATTCTCAGGATATGTTACACTGTAGGCGTCTCCTTTGACTGACTTTGCTGAGTTTTAACATCAATCTTTCTACAATAATTTCCAATGTTTCTGTCAAATTTTATTTTTGCGATCAGGAGAGTATTTAGCACAAACATTATACAACGGAACGGGCGGACAGATGGACGGACAGACAGGCAGGCATTTGCGACGACAGTTGCACACACGAACGGACGAATAGACGGATAGATGTGCATACTTAAATCGATTCAGATTTTTGTCCTGGTAAAAAATATACGTAGTCAATATACCCACATCCTACGTTATTGGATATAATAAGAGAAAAGCGCTTACAAGACCGGTTGCACTGATAAAAAAGAGTACCACTTATTTGTGCTTCATTTTTACCATACGCAGCTGCACTGGGCTATTTACTTACAATTATCTCATATTAGTAGAGTTGAATTTTACCGAATTTCAAGGCCGGTTTCCTTATAATTCAGTAAGTGTAGAGCAGATAGTGGTAGTTCGTTTCCTCTTTCAAATAAGTATCTTCTCGAGTTCTGTCGTTATCTTTCTGCTCTGCTGCAACATATAAAAATAAATGATTTGGCTAATATATGGTTATATTTGTTACATTTGTTGCCATTCTCTTGCAAAGGTTTCAAGGCGAAGTTTTTTTAAAATCACAAAACCTAAAGCGAAGTCTTTATTTAAGTTATGTTCTAACCATATGGGGCCACAAATGAACGATTAACACTAATCTAAAATTTTAATTGAAAGTAAACATTGTATTGACACACACACAGTGATCCCTTAAATTCTCAACACAGTGCTATATGCAGGCATGAAGAGAATGAATTGTATCCGTATATTGTTCGCGTCTTTTAAATTATGAATCCCGAGTACAAAGTGACCAAATTGCAAATAGATCGGAAGAGTACGTTTACAGTATCACGTGAACATCTCTTTTTAAAGCCAGGAAGAATTGCTCATTGCTTACACACTGTACCAGACAAAAGTATAAAAATTTCTACATGTCTTCTGTGCGAGATCCTACATTAACTGTAGCAAAATGATAAAAATCTCTCATGCCCACCAAATATTGTATTGCATCAAAATTACATTTTTTTGCCAAAATGATTTTATGGAAATTTAGATTTTAGTTTTTATTTAGTCTTTTTTACACCATGAATAGAAATTTCGATCAGAGCCGAATATAATTTTCTTAGTTGTTTTTATTTATCGCTTTTTAACACTAATTAACCGTCGAAGTGCAAAAAGCATTAGGATAGGATAGGTAGTTTTTCGATTCAGTATATTAAGAAAAATATAAAAAACTGAAGAACTGTCCCTTTTTCTCTCCCCTTCATCAGGAGGAGTTCAACCCTATAGACGAAGTAAGAGAAATGTGTATTTTCCAGATCATTGAACAGTCAGACATGTAATTGATCTTTTTTGCTTCCATACTTATGTATGCCTAGATAAATTGTGTTTTATATCGGCTGTGCGCGCACACACACGCTGGGAAAAGGAGGTCTACGAAATTGTCTTTTCTATTTGTAGCAAACAAAAAATCCTCCTCAGGCATATACGTGGGTAAAGTGCGCATATCAGTGTAAATATGTTGCGTCATTTGGTATAGTGGCTCACTACTTCAATTCTTAAAAAAGTAGACAAAAACTTGACATATGATACGCGATACGTGACATATCCTTGTTTTAGGATCAGGGACTAAATTTTGAAGATAATTGTTCCGTCTCAAATCATCGGTCCTCACTAGGCACAAAAAGTGAATCTATTTTGAGAATCCTAGGCGTAAATATTCTTAGGTAGATCCGGATGTATGATCCACATCAACTTTGAGTCGAAATCGCCTTGGCAGCAAAACGAGTTCCTGTGACCGATGGAAACAGGAGACCGTAGTACGGGTTAAGTTCTAGTAAAACGATTAATGTCAAGCCATACCACAAACAAATGAAATAGCACTGAAGGCAGCACAAGATCATATGCGGCATACTCAGTGAACTCGAGTCCTTCCGATTACCACCTGCTTACGCACTTTCTGAGCAACGCTTTACCTCTTACCTAAAAGCACGAAATGCTGTTTTTTTAACGTGGGATCCACAAATCGTAAATGACAAATGACAAAATATTTTTTGTCATTTTCATACAATAAATGCGTATTTTTTTTTTAATTTTCCGGTTTCATAATAACACAGCTAGTGATTGGCGAACTGATACGAGCACAATCGGCGAAGAACTGTGCAGTTTTAACTTCGGGTTCAGGGGTTGCGTTTGATATTCTTCACTTTAACTTAACATTTTTTTTCCAAATGTCTTCATTTGCAATTTATTTACAGCAATTCAACATTTAACGAATGGGTAAACAATTAAAACAGAATAAAAAACAATAATGTAACATGACATTAGTCAGGTTCCAGTGAATTTAAAAAATATATATTTGTTTAATTTTTGACTTCAAGTCTTGGGTACGCATTAAGAGAATCAGTATTGTGTCTTTTCAGCCATCTTACTTTATAACTATCACCTAACAAGTTTACGGCTAATATATTAGACGTTTTATTTCACCTTTAACTTCAAACAAACACATGTAAAACAACAATATAGCGATGTGTTGTATTAATAATAATTTTGTCACTTGCATGGTTGAGTGTTTATGAAACTCTTTAATAATAATTGTGACTCATGTGGTTTAACAGGCTTGACATCCGTTTAATTTCAATACTCATATCTGGCATTTCATATCATGTATCTATGTGTGTGTGTGTGCAAACACATGTAGGGATTCTTTCTTATATCAGTGACTGCTGTATGAATGGTTCTTTAAATATTTATTTCACATTTTAGTCTTTTCTTTTATATTTTATTTTACAAGCAAAACAATTTCCGAACGGAATCATGTAACAATTCTCTCAATTGATTTCGAAAAAGCATTCGACAGAGTTGGTCTTCATGTTATTTTAAGACTCTTGAAATCATGGAATGTTCGACCCAAATTCTTCACCTACATCAAATCATTCATGTCGCATAGGCAGTTTAAAGTTAGAATCAACAATCATCTCTCTGATTCCTTTCCGCTAATGAATGGCAATCCGCAAGGATCTCCTCTTTCTGTTACGCTTTTCCAGATCGACTTCAACGAAATTAGCAAAATTCTTTGCCGTGTACCGAGGATCGAACATTGTCTCTACGCGGGCGATATATACATTTTTACAAAAGAAAAAGAAAGCACGAAAGCAATCAACATCCTCGAATCTATTGGACGAGAGATCGCCGCATGGGCAAACTCGTCAGGGGCTAACATTTCCTTACAAAAATCAGAAAAAAATGCACATTTGTTGGAAAGCACACTGACTTCGGTTAAAAAATTCTATTTTAACAAGGGTGAATTTCATACAGTACGTTGCTTGGAGAAACCATGCCCTTAAAAATTTTCCGCTCTTTTCGTGTTTAACCTCCATGGATTTTGAAAGACTGCTCTTTTGACATCTCACTGTCTATGCACAAGAAAGAAGATACTCCAAATTACGTCCTCAGGAATCTAATAACTGAAAAAACCCAAGTATTGGAGAGTACCGGTTGGAATCTTCTATACACAGACGGCTCAAAATCTTCTGGTCTGTCTTCTGCTTGTGCCGTGGTAGATGCTTCAGGATAGGTTCTTTTTAATAACATATTTCACGAAAGTACTTCAACTTACACAACCGATGCCAGAGCTATTCTTCACGCTGCGAACCCCATAAAAACAAACTTAAAACCGTCATTGCTTATCCGAATTAGAAGCTATTCGAAATCCTTCGACTTCGAGATGGAGCACCGTCAACAAATTAAGTAATATTATTACAACACCCGATGGAAAAATTAAAATGTTATGGGTACCTAGGCATATCGGTTTATTGGGAAATGGGCGGGCTGATCGAGCGGCTAAATACGGTGCTTCTGCTCCTCTAATTGTGGATGATGTCATGGAAAAGTTGGATCTACAAAGGTACATTGGAAGAAAGCTTAAAGAGAAAATTACAGAGGGAAATGTACAATACCAACATCAGCACTGCTCCGTTATTAACGCTCAATTAACTCCACCTTTATATCGCCTTGGCCATACAATTGCAACTCTCCAATGGATCTTAAAGAAGTCTTCCCCTCCAATCTGCAATTGTGGACAAACTCTCACTAAAATGCACATTCTCTGCGGCTGCCTTAACTTTTCCTTGACTAGAAATATTGCATTTGGAACAATTAACCCTATAGACATTCTACAATCAGCTTCAGAACAAAATATCAATTCAATATATTACTTTATTAAAACTACCAGGCTCAATATCTCAGAACTCAATGTCTTTTTTTTAGTCAAAGAATTTATTTCACTACTCTAAAATTGTAATAATAATAATAACGATAACAATATTAATAATATTTTTACTTATCAGAATTGTTTCATGTCTTAAATGCTGACATAGCAACTACAAATGAAAACTTAAAAATGCCATCTCAAAGCAACGACTACGAGGAGACAATTGGCAATGATGTAGACATCATGGATAAGGACGACATATTACAAAAATTACATCAAGACCTACGAGATGAGCAAGATATAGTCACGAAATCGAACATACTGATAAAAATGTTAGAGGTAAGATTTTATTTAAAAAAAAACGGTTCTTTCTCATTTCAATTGTAAATAACAAGGATCCCAATATGGGTACCTTACCATTGGTCTACATGGAAGAGGAAGCTGAAGACACAGAAGCTGATATGTCCAATATTAACATAAACTCGAACAGCCTAACAAAACGATCTCGTTATTACAGACGTTTTCCTTGGAAGCGTCATCACAAAAATCGAAAGTAAGTTAATTAAAAAAATTTTTTTGCTTTTGCTTTTTACCGACCAACTTCCACTGCCAGCACATATGAGCCAGAATTACGTTACGCCTGCACGCCCACAAAAGAGGACGTTTTCCAATTGCTGGTTAATTTACATGAGAACCGAAACGGCAGGAGCGCCAGAAACGCTAGAAACGGCAACACTATAACCTTCTGTAACCGTAAAAGGCCAGCTAAAGCTATTTTTACTAATATACGATTTTTAGGTTAAAAGAAAAGCGCAAATTGCAACAAAAATTTCAAACAAACAGAAAGATGTACATTAAAAATTTCTAATTAATGGAAAACCAAAAACCATAATAAAAAGAATTTTAAAAAAACTTTGCAAGCCTTTTAGAGCAGCTATCGTTATAAAAAAATTTGATGTAATATATATATAATGTTTACAGCTATCCCGCAACTGATTAAAAAGCAAAAAAAAAGATATTTATGTAAAAGATTATAACACAAAGAAGTTTAGGATTCGATTTTTACATTAGTGGAAAGATGTGCAAAGGTCAACAAGATCCAAACTACGAAGTTCTCACTTTTAGGTCAAACATGCACAAGTAATTCTCCCTCTTCCTCTGACCATTAACGTTTCTACGCATAGAAAGAATAACTCCTGAGCGCTTAGTCAATACAAAAAAATATTATATTGATAAGATTAGAAAAGACCCTTAAGTCGTTGGCTTCAAATATCTGAAGAATGGAAATTTTGCTTCAAACTCTTAAAAATTTGAAATACGTGAGCCAGTTAAAGGCGTTTTAGCAGCTATTTTTTGTATGTCAATACCTGTTCTATGGCCATAAAACTGGCTAAGTGTTGAACTGCTTCGTTCGAATCGTTGATGCACGGAAACTTTAGACGACAGCGGTAAATCTTGGATCACCTATCGTATCGAAAGTAAGCGTAAATCAAGCACAGTTGTGATTAAGATGTTTTTCAATATATTTTTTGCACCTCATTATTATCTGCGAAGTACAACGTCATTCAAACCCCCTACAGGAGACATTTTACAGTGATGCATTCTTTGGAAGTAATTGTCGATGACTTGACTGCACATAGTGGACAATACCTCGGCCATAACTTGACAGATGTTCGTTTTCAAGGCGTCAAGAGTTTGAAGATTGTTTGCATGCGCCCGATAGGCGCGGATAGGCTTGGCACCATCAAAATGAATCAAGAGGAAAATGTATTCGACCTCCCGATAAGTATTTCTAATATAAAGCAAGCCAGGAAAGCATATAAGAAAAGTGAATTCGTTTTAGAGTGAATTTTTAATGTCTACCACCTCAAGTTGGCATTAATAGCTCGATCGGAATTACAATCATCTGACTCTTCGGAGTACAAAAAATGTATTGGCCAAGGTTGAGCAATCTAGTTTATTTTTTGTGTCTTCAGCGACCAAAGTGCTTAGGCGTCATTTAATGCCTTCATGATTTCATCATTTTTCTAGACATTAGATTCCAACTTCCAAAAATTTATAGCGGATACAAAGAAATGGTAAAATGCAAGATCTCATGTTTTTTATTCGTTACGGACCTATAGCCAATAGTGAAGAAATATCACCATTAAGCTTAAATTCAAAAGTTTTCTTTTATCCCCTTGGAGCGTACGCTTGATGAAATTGCCTTTGCGAATTTAAGATTGAAACATCTATCTCAACTTGAGGCATCTAAGAAGAGATATGACTAAGTTCAAGCTTTACGTTCACTAAAAGTATCTGAACATCATGAGATCTTAGAAGTATAAAATTGTTACACCACCAATATTCCCCAGTGTATGGCGCCAATTAACGAATAGCTTGGAGCATAGATTGAATATTTTAGCCCCATGGTTTTCTTTTGTTGACAAAAAGCCAAACAAATTGCGATTATTTTTTAGCTCAGGCTATGTTTCTACTGATTTCATGCCTACATCTAATGAATGTCAATAATATATGGATATAACACATAACAAAAATATAATTTGCTTTTCGACATTTTTCCTTCGGTATTGTCTCAGGCTGTTTAACTTTTACGAACTTTATTTCGCAAGAAAAATATGCTATAAAAAGTTTCTGCTCACAATTTTTTCCAAGTTGAGAATATGCAAACAGCAATTGGACCAATATATGAACAAATTGTCTCACGTCAGGGAAAAATTTAAAAATGTACTTCCGGGGGAATAACTACCATTCATTGTCATGTTTGCCTGGTTAGAAAGTGAAGCAACTTTTAGTGAAGAAGAAAGTAAAATATTGAATGTATATAGTAATCTTTATATTATGTAATCATTACATTATATCTTTACAAATGTATTTAGTCTGCACTATAAAAAATTAGAAAAAATTTTTCTTAAATTTAAATCCATAAAAGTAAATAGTTACTAGTTCACGTTAATTATAATCATCATAGTTGACACCAATAAAAAGAAACAATGGAATTTGTTTAGAGTTAAGCATTACTTTTTCAATTCTATTTGTGTTGTGTGTTACTTAAATTCTTAATTAATAAATGGAAAATTTTTCAATCTCGGTAGAAATGTTTCTCTTATTGTTCTTTTGATGTATAAATGCACTCCGCTAAGTTTGCACCATATTACTCTATCGATCTTCTCGTATTTGATATTATCCGTTTGAACCCTAACCGCTTTTATACTAACAAGTCGTGCGCACACATTAACCTTTAAAGTTATTCTGAGTAATGAAAAAGTGTGTATGTGCGCTAAAGGCGCCACTTATCGAACTTCGCTCTCAATAATTTATGTCTCAAGACAATACGACTACACTTAAAGTTTCCAAGTTTCAATAAGCTTTGGAGATTGATAGGGCAATAAGCAATGACAGTTCATATTATATTTCCCTCCCATAACTTATTTTCCCGAAAGCATCAACAAGCCTATTAGCCGATTGAAACCCTTTCATAGGAGATTCTAAGAAGCGTACACTAATTACGAACTTCGTTTAAAAACCGTAGCGAAAAATATGCATTACTTGCACTTTGTCCCAGGATTAAATGACGTACATTCGACAAATTCAAAATACATAATGGAATGGAAAAAAGCCTGTATGTCCTTGGTGAGTTTGCCCATGTGCAGTCGAAAAGTTCTTAATGAACTGTCATATGGAGCAAATCTGAACAGAATTTGTAGATCGCCAAGATAAATGATAATGAAATTTTTTATAAGTTATTGATAAGAAGAGTCTCCCGTTGTCTAATTCACTTTCTGAGATTTTTTACTATTCTAGCAATTGTGGGTCCGTCTTAAAATCCAGGGTGTCTATTCCACACCTAGCCTTTGAATGTAAGTAAGGAACTCATTACTTCTTGGCTTTTTTCCATTTTTTTTTCTCTAATGCGGTCAATCATTCAGGAGTGTTCTCTGTACGCGCAACACGTTGACGAACTTGAGAAAAAAGTGTGGGAAGAGAAAGAGACAGATACAATGATCGCAAGACTGGTGAATGTGTAAGTATTCGGTAAGCATTACGCCCTTACCGACTGAGCAATCGCTGGATGTACGACCAAGTAAAAGCAAATCTCACTGAGATTTTAATCCGCGAACACTGCCCTCTTAGTCGTGCCTGCTATTTAATTGGCTAAACTTTAGCCCATGGAAGTTTTAGTTGCGGAAACCAGATAGAAGGTCTTCGATAATATACTTTATAAAATCGGTTCCGAGTTCTAAGGCCATTAAGAATACATGTTTATATATAACAGATACTGCGTGCGTTAGCAACTTTGGTAAACAAAAGCGAAAAATATATATTTGCCTTAAACCTTGTTGTAGATGCTATGCACTCTTTAATTTTTTTCAATATTATAAATATCTGATGCGAATGGGAGGATGAGAAAAGTTGTTTGATATCAGATTTTAGATCAAAGTCAGTCATCAAACGGATCACAGCCATTTAAACAGCTGATCAATCGGAAATTATCAAATGCGTACGACGATATACGTATATGTATATATGTATATTGATGATATTTATATTTGACGAGCCCGATACATACGGTATATGGTAATTCTTAGCAAATCTATTGTACTTTGCTAACTTACTTGTAATTCATACAACTTTGAGACAGACAGCACACATTCATGTTCTAACATTCAAAATAATATGCTTTTCTTAGTAATACGGAATATTTTTCAAGAAACTATGTTTGCCATATTTTTTAAAAGATTTTAAAATTTTTTTGTTTTGCTGCATTTTATATTAACTTTTAACTTATGTTCATTATATATGAATAAATTCGATTTTATTTTTTTAGAAAATCACGAATTGTACAGTTCCCATCCATGTAAATAAAAAAAAATAAATAAATAAAGAGACGGTTCCCATCTACTCGCTATCTCGCCCTATTTTCAATCAACATTTGTTGTAAGCATTCAGTTATATAATGTCAATATTTAACTTGTGGTGCACAGAATAAAGCAAACAAAAGGAAAAGGAATAAAAAGATGTTGCGACAAAAGCTTTAAATGTAGACTACAGCTTAGACGTCCATTGTTCGCGAAGACGAAAAGAGCTAAAACTATTCTTGTAAGGAACTATGAAAGACTTTTACACTTGTCTCAGCGTAAAAATATTCTACCAAAAGACAACTGACAGCGTTACAATGGAGCAGGGCCTGACATTCTATGCGAAATGAATTTTCAAAGTAAAGTGTTCTATGGGAATTAATCGAAAAAGTGCTCTGATCCGGATCATGTTCAATGGTCAAGTTTGTCGTTAGGTCAGAACCTATTGGTGTACCAATTTTCATCAAAATATCTCCAAAGCTGTGACTTGTAGATTGAAGAGAAGAAAGAAGTTGCACAGACAGACAGGCTTACATCGATTGAGGAAAGGATTCTGAATTGTTTTTAAAAGTGATCCTGAATCGATCAGTATAATAAAAGATAGGTCTATCTCAAACTAAATATTCCCTTATACCAGAAATAATGTAGGGTATAATAAAAAAAAAAGTTAAACGTTGCTCAAATTCCGAGGCACATAGCAGATCGGCTTAGTTAACCATAATATATCTAAAGACAATTTCCGTAATTGGTTTATATTAAATACGCAATTTTCGTAATACTTAAAGTTAGAAGAAGAATACTGTTGTGCTGCATTCCTATTAATTGAAGGGAAGGTAGCACTTGGTGGATACGGATTATCGAAAATTATTGGCTGCTCTCGATGAGGCTTGAAAGGTAATTGCGGGTATGATTGGGGATGATTATTATTAAAATCATAAACACCATTTGAAAAACCGTTTGGCACACGGTTTTCGAAACAGTTCTCTTGTATCACCTCGATAAGAAAACCACCAATTAATGAACTGCCGCAACCCATACGCATTCTTAGTGTCTTATGAGCAGTGGAAAACCAATCAGACTCATAAGTCAAGCCCGTTAAACATCCACAAAAACGCTGATTATCAATTTCAATGAAATCATCACTGCAAGTTTTTCGTACAGCTACATCGTTTACAACCACACCTTGACCAAAATTGAAAAATTTTAAATTCAGTCGTAAGCGGCAAACATTAGGTGCAAATTTTACAAAATGATATTCACAATCTCTCGGTAACGCAACGCCAGGAGTCGAGAACATGGAGCGCGGAAATCCAGGACTAGTAAGATAAAAATTTCTTTGATGAAATGGGTTAACACAACAGGCGTTATTCGCGTCTGAACTGCTTAAAGGTTCAAAAATCGCTTTACCATCTGTTGGATCAAAGGTTTCAGGTGATAGCTTTGCTGGTAAGTATAAGTCCTGGGGACAAAATACTTCTTGTCTTTCTCTGAATGGTGGTTGCAAATACAGTGTGGGCTCAGTAACTAAGGCAGATTCCGTATTTGTTTCGCTTGCAAAAGGATTGATGAAATCCTCGGTTTCACAAGCCAAACGTGTTATTAACAATTTAAAAACTTTATCTTCGGAACAAGAGGAATTATTTGTTACAAATCGTAATCTTAAGACGCCATCACTTGTCTGATATTTTCTAACGCCCACTACTTGACCGCACAATTTATCTTCCGAATCGATAGCTAAATAGTCCTTATCGCAATCCATTGACGGCGGCAAGAAGAAATCCAAGAATTCTATATGAAATTTCGTTGGACAACGGTATGGCGATCGTACTATATAATCCCAACATGTGTTGCCCGAATAACTGTTCGTATAAATTGGTGACATAATTCGAGTTTGACGCGTTTTATAAACTCCAATTAAGATACATTGCGATCCATTATTATTATTATAGGCAATCACTTTACTGTCAAAGTAAATCAATAAAATCGTTATGAATAACGCACGCTGTGACATATCGCGCTCTCAATAACCGCTTACTGAAGATGAAAAATTTGAACTGACTTCAAGTGTAGAATATCGTTTTTTTAAGGTTTACTTGACCATTTTTAAGGTGTGAAACTATGTTATTCAATATTTAGTTTTCTCCAAAAATGAAAAAAAAAGAAAAAACTAAACAATAAGTGCTTTTTGTTAGGTTCAATGCATTATTTAACGATACATAAATATTTTGTTAGTTTACGTGGGAACAAAATTATGTAAACGTGTAATATTTACCCAAATACTCTGACAAGAATCTTTTATTTGTTCAAATGAATCCACATAATAACTGCATAATTCTGTTGAAAACGAAATTTCCCCAAACGGTGGAAAAGTAGTACAAGCAAATAAATATTTCCGAGGCTTATCCCTAATTGTCATGCAATGAAGGCGCATTATGCAAACGAGGTTGCGAGTAAAAGGAGAAAAGTGGCTAGTCACAGGGAGTTGCCGAAAACATTAGAGCAAAATATGGTATGGACTACCAAAGGATTTTTAAGCAAAGAATTTTCTCAAATCACGACTTTCGCGACTTCTAGGGAAAGAAATTGATCAAGTGTGTTTGAACGTTCAATGGAGCGAGCTGTTGTAAGAACCTAGTCTAAGGAATATTAGGAATGGCGTTTCATGATGCAATATAGAAAATTTCCAGAATGTCAACGAAGTAAAAACACTATAGTGGACTACGGTACTCTATAAAATACGAAACACCAACCGGACAAGACCGGCCACTGGAAACCATACATCACTTCGCTTAGCTTTTGTAACAATATATCAAAAATTACAGATTATTTTCATGCAAAGGCATACTTTTCATGAAAGCCCGCATATTGAAAAATGCCCGAAAGAAAACGTGGCGCGATCAAAATTAAGTAAACTTAATTTAATATTTCAAAATTGTATTATCTTTCAATTTCCGTCGTAAGAAACTAGGAATTAGAGTTTCTCTCCATATAAAGGCGATTTTTCATGATAACCTCTGTGTTAGGGTCTCAAAAGACACCTATCTGAGGCAAATTTCCTACCGTTAATTTTTTTACTAAAGCAATTTTCATCATAAAATTACTATCCAGGAGAAATCTTATATAGAGTGGAGTTCAAGCAATGGACGCATTTGGCTCAAATTTGGTGCACTTCACGACGGTCAAGTCTTTTGGGCAAATTCCCTGACAATCCTTATATGCGCTGGTATCCAAAAAAATGACCTACTTCGTCCAGTAAAGTTCGGTAAGGTTTCATTTTTCACCATGAAATATTGCAATTATATCATTTCACCATAGAGGGGTTTAATAAGAGAGTAAGTTCAAAAAAATGCCACAGCCATACCAAATTTTTCATACCGAAATATAATTTCGAAAGACTTACAAATCATGAATAAAAAATACTTAGCGATTTCTGTCGGGAAATTTTGAAAATTGCAAATTTTCCATATAACAGCGGAGACTGATAGAAAAAGTTGACCGATCCGAACCATGTTCAGTAGCGTTCGTCCTTGGGTCAAAACATATCTGTAGACCAATTTCGCCAAATATATCTTAAAAATTGCGACTTGTAGGTTGAACACAAAAAAAAGACAGACAGACATGCTTAGATCGATGCAGAAACATTTTCTCGTTCTGGTTTTTGTTTTCCGCAGTTAGTGCCATCGTCTGCAGAACATATGAGCAAATATTTTAAGATTGCGGCTCCTCTACGTTAGTGTTGTCGTATGAAGAACGTATGGGTAAATATTTTAAGATTGCAGCGCCTCTTTGCCTGCGATAATGGATTTTATGATATTACATTTGTCACACTAAAGTTTCGTGTCTTCAGTGCTATTATATTTAGATCAGCTCGCAATTCCTGCTGATATATTATTATTTGCAAGAAAATCGATCTTTAGAGGAAGATTTTGAAATCCAAGTTCGAAATGAAACAACGATCCTGGAAATACCAGATTCAGTCTCGAACTGTGAATAGTTAACTCGAACGTCATGTAGGCACTAGGCAGTATACATGAAATGCGAAGAAAATAATTTAGAGTATGCCAATATGACTGATGTGGTGATCAATAACTTAAAAGGGAATGCGGTTTGAAAAAGTTTTTTTCTGCTGTGAGCAATCACTGTTCTTGTAACACGGTTAGAAAGAAGTGCTTTAAGAGAACGAAATAAGAAGGTGATGGCCGCACCCTAGTGGCTTTGTGCCCAATTTGTAAGTGTTATGCCGCTACCGAATGGGCACTCGTTAAACTCTACCTTAAAAAGATTTTGAAATATATACGGTATCCAGTATATGTATATACGCGGTTGGCTACTGCTAACTGCCGCTGTTACGTGGATGTGGGAAAATGAAGTAATCGATCGTAAAATGAAACTATCGAAGCAAACTTTCGAAAGATTTTCGACTACTACAGGAGTTTCAAGAAAGGACCATTTCTTGACTCTGCAAATAGTTGAAACCCTGGTATAGCGGGTATTAATGAACTGAAACTTGTTTCGGTTGGCCCAATAAAATTTTTTTGTATAAGATAACCATGACATCTGCTTTGTAAATTTGACATTTCCATCTTCACTTAATAGCGATCGACTTATTATAGCGTATTAAGTTCGTGAGGATGTATATAATATCCGGACGTACATGATAGCTTTTATTATACCGATCGATTCAGAACCACTTTCTGAGTCGATCTAAACTTGTCCGTCTGCCTCTCCATTTACCTGTCCGTTTATCTGTCCGACGATGGGTTATGCATTCTTGTATTCAACAGACTATCTGACAGAGTTTCCCAATTTTTATCATTTACTTTGCTGTGCAGACCATTTTGTCTATATATGTAAAGAGTTCACTAAACAAATTGTACATTGAAAAATCACTCAAACATTTTGATTGTTCTAAGATGTTAGACAAATTTGTAAAGACAAAATTAAAACAAAAAAAAGGATAAAGCCTATTTTTTATCTCAAAATTTTTAGTGCATCTTTCTTTATGAAAAATTTCTTAACATTTTTAGTGAAAATTTTTTGGGAACTGCTAACTATTAAAAATCAATCAAGCTCGCATCGATTATCAAATATGAACGCATCGATCGATCGACTTGGGCCTCAGTCGGGAACTGAATTCTTTAAAACGACTTTGATTCATCCAGTTGAATATTACGAAACGCTTGCGCAAACTAGGAAAATAATAGAAAGGCGAGCCAATATTGACGGCCAAATCAACAGTCTCTTACATAACGTTCACGAAATCTTGAACGGTGCGACTTTATATTTAAAAAACATTTTTCAAATTTTAATTCTTATCCATCTTAGAGCAAAGATATAAGCAGACTAACAGGCGACAAGATGAAGAAGCATGGAAGAAGCAAAAGTTAAAAGAGAAGGTGAAACCACCCACCGTAAAAGAACAAGAAGTACAAACGAATCTATCCACATTAGATAAACCAATGACCCCTGCGTCAGGACGAGTAAGCATACCACGTGCAAAAGTAATGTGCACCCAAAAAGAGACGGAGCGCTTGCATCGCGCGATACCGCCGCCTAATGTTCCTCACTTTGATCGCACTGTAGGCGTTAAAGAAGTTTTACATCAACGAGCCCTTCTTGAAGGTATGCTAATGGAACATAAGCAATTGCAACGTGACCGTGAGACCATTGTACACGAAATAAAAATGATGCGCAACTACTTAGATGACATACGTTGCCGTCTGGATACATCCTTGAAGAAATTGAACCAAAAAGTTCCCTCGGTAGATGATCAATATCCCTCAGATTTTCAATTTTATCGGACAAAATTTTATAGCCAGTTACCACCAGTATCACCTGCACCTTCTACAAAATAACAATTTTAATTTCTACGGCTTTTTACTCTCAAATTAGAACATTTCAAATCCAATTTTCCGTTTGTTTTAAAATTTTGGTAATATGTGTGCAATAATAAAGAGGTCTCTCAAATTCAATTCAATTCAATTCCTTCAAGGCACGACTAGTAGACCGTTGGTTGTAAGAGCGTGAAGTAGACTAGTAGCGTAAGAAAAAGAAACAGATATAGACTTGATGATTGACGAGGCATTTAAAAATTGCCGCAACCATCGATAAAACTAATGTACACTATAATGTATTAAGTCTACTATACTATAATGTATTAAGTCTAGCTGTTTCTGCGTTCGTTCACATAAATTAATCGCCCGTTCAAAGCACTTGCCCACCGTGTTACTATAGCAATAGGAAAAACAAGCTTTTCAAAAAATATATGAAAAGAGTATCCTAACGACAATTTCTTTTACTCTGCGGTGCGACATAGATTCAATTGCCTCAACCGTTAAAATATTAAAAAAAATTAAATTATCTTCATAGGCTACTTTTATGAATTTTTCAATTCTAAAAGAAGAATGTCAACATATCCCTCCCCATCTCTCTTAATGGCTCCGAGTCCTCCGGTGATATTGAAGCCTCGAATCTCTGCCGAATACTTCCATCGAAATATCTCTACTGGTGGTAACGATTTGCCATGTTTGCAAGACTTTTTCTATTGGCTCTCGCACGGAGATGATGTACACTGATTTTAGTAAAACGCTTCACTTGGTTAGCCGTAAATTAATGATCTTTAAAGGACCAGACCTCTGGCTTCCCTTTATAATTATTGAAAAGGATAAGCTCTCATCCCCATAATATATCGTTTATGGTTCTGCTTAATTCCATCACCTCTGATCAATTGCAATTGACTTCAGGTATCCTTAAAGGGAACCATTTAGGACACCTTCTTTTTATCGGGTCCAGCCTTATTTTAAAGTACGCTGACGGCATTAAACAGTTTTATTCTTTGCATTGTGTTCTCTAAACTTTATGAAATAAAAAAAATGTAAGAAGGGGGGCTCTATTCACTACTGATTACTCGATTAATTAAAAAAAATTGGAAAATGTAGATTTATTCCTTGCCGTCACTGGAAAAACGTAGATTTATCCTCGGTGTTTCCTTCTTAATTAAGTTAATAAATGGTACCATCCATTCGCTAACATTACTTGGAGAGATAAACTTCAATATCCCGAACCCGTCCTCTAGATTAGTCAATGTAGATAATTACCAGCTTTTCATTCCTTTCAGAGTCCCTTGCAAAAATCTAAATGATATCTATAATTTAATCTGAATATCAGAAACTATCAAATCAATTCTCCTATATTCTCGCGCTCTGCCTATAGCGCATGTAGATTAGTTTCTCATCTCGATGTCTTTGCCGAATTCGAAAACTGAACTATATATTTTCACTATTATCGCCAAGTTATTTGCCAAGTTTTTGCATGCTTGCAATGGCTTGGAGGTTTACCTCTAACAGGAATTTACATGTGTACATGTTTTTTTTTTCTGTTCTCATTAAAATATGAACTGCTTTCTTTTTATTTTCTTGTTTTTTCTTTAGTTTTCTTTAAACACTTCCTAATCATTATTGAGAAGACAGCATAAGATCTATTTCTAAGAGCCATTTAAATGCGTCTGTTAACTTATGTTAGCTGAATTTCATGAGTAAATAATATAAATAAATAAATAAAAAATGCTAGCACTTCAGTAGAAAATACTGTCATTGTATCTGGTGTAGTGTAAAGAGTAAAAAAACCCAATTTCTTCTTGCTCTTGTTCCTGCCAAAGTATCTGCATTTTTGCGATAAGAAACACGTTTCCCACAAACATTACACAGACGGAAGACAGACGAGACACAGGTAGACGAATAGACAGACATGCTTAAATAGATTCAGAATTTGGTGGTGACCAAGAACACTTGTTACACATTGTGAGGTCTGTGAAGCTTCTTTCCGATTGTTGCAAACATTTTGCTATATAAAGTTGTCGAAGGTCAACCTCATAAACATTCCATCCGGTCGCCCACTTCAATTAAATAAAAGAATATCGATATTTTTTTTTCTTTTAGACATTTAGCTCAGTTTTTAACTTCAAATTACATTCCTACAACTCCCCGATACTGGAGCTCATGGTTTGTAGTTTAATAAAAGATCTAAATTTCGGCACTCGGATATTGTAATCAACTTTGTAATCTAACACAATCGAATACAATGACAAAATAATATTGCTTGCTTTTAATTTCTTTTAATATAAACAAAAGTTTCAAATCACATAATATACAAAGATATAAATAATCTTTTTTTTTCTTTTTGTTTTATTTGTTTGGTTACATATAAACGGCGCGATTTGCTAATTCGCAGAAGCTTCGTAAATAGTTGAGCAAATTTAAAGCTAATGCTTAAAAAAGCAATCAAGGCTCATTGTGTTTTAAGCTAAAACGCTCAATATACTTAGCGTTGTTATATTTTTCCCTTACATATTTAATTTTAATTTTCATACTTCATACATAAAAATAAGTTGACAACACTGCAATTAACAGCTGGTATAGTCTGAACCGTCTTTCCAACTTTCCTATTATGTCAACGAAATGGCCATATTTTAAAAGCAAGTTTGACGATCAAAACAGTGGCAACACCAGTCATTAGCGTCGCCTGCCAGCAGAAGATTTGACAAATATTAATTTATTAATAAATAATTGAATTAAATTCTAATGAAAACATAAAATTTGTGACACATTACGGTTGTCAAAATGGGTTCATCAAAAAAGCACAAAAAACATAAATCAGAACGCCGTGAAAAGTATGAAGGTCAGTTATTTAGTTGCGGTGGAATTTCTATCCATATCGAGACATATATGTGCATATTTTTTTCATACAGAATATAGCAACAATATGGATCCTTCACAATTGCAGAGAGGCTTAAAATTGATTTTAAAAGTCGGACCTAACAACACCCCTGAATATTCTGGAGGTAGCGGTGGCAGCGAATGCATACCATTAACTTCTTCCCTGCTAGTAGGCCCACCGACTGCAGCTGAGGCAATGTGTAGCAGTCCGTTAATGTTAGAAGATTTGGAAGAGTACCGCAATGAAAAACATAAAAAATCTAAGAAAAAAAAGAAGAAGAAAGATCGTGAAAAGAAACATAAACATCATAAGGAGAAGAAGAGAGATAAAAGTGAACGACATACCAGTGCAATCAGTCCACGTAGAGAAGCGTCTTCAATAGAGAGCGCTGAAGATTTAACGTTGATCGTTAATCAAGATTCGCAATCATTATCAGCTACGTTCCACTCACAACGCAGTCCAAAATTTGGTTCTGTGGGTCCCCCATCCAATGTAATGGTAGTTAGTGCAGAAGGCGACAGCAGCCAAGATGATTTCAGTTTTATGGATGACACTTCGCAACCTTTGCCAGAGAATATATTATTCTATGCTGGTATGACTACTGAAAATTCCCCTTCTTGTAGACCTGTTTCTAAGCCAATAGTGCCACGTAAATGTGATGATATAATGTTGGGCTCGCCAGCCTCATCTTCATTGCAAAGTTCATCTCTAGGAACGAATATTGGGGCGAGCAACTTAGGAATAGGTAGTTTAAGTCCAACTAAACCCTTATCAGATGTAAGTGAAGCAAAGGTCAACATCGAATCGAAAAAATTTTCAAAATATTTTCTTTTGCTCCTTAGCTAATTATACCATCGCCAACCCCGTCTTTATCAGCTTCAACACCCGGTGGCGCCAGCTCAACTGCAGCGCTTACTCCTAAAGCCTTAGAGGCTCCGAAAACCCCTAGCACTTCTAGTGAATCAGGACGAGAGCCCCGTTCTTGTGTTTTAAAGTTGAAGCAGCAGAAATCTCCTCTTAATAAACTATTAGAGCATTTATTACGTATTTTGGAGAAGCGAGATCCTCATCAGTTTTTTGCTTGGCCTGTTACTGATGACATTGCTCCAGGGTATTCACGAATTATTACCAAGCCTATGGATTTTTCCACAATGCGTCAAAAAATTGACGACAACGAATATTCGACACTTGTCGAATTTACTGATGATTTTCGTTTAATGTGCGATAATGCCATTAAATATAATCATGTGGACACTGTATATCATAAGGCGGCAAGACGTCTTTTGCAAGTGGGCTTAAAACATCTGGCTCCAGAAAGTTTAATGCGTAGCTTGAAACCCTTATCAGGCTATATGAGAGAATTAACTGCAAAGGAATTAGGTTTTGAGTTAATACATGCTTCGGGGGATTATAGCAGTGTCGGCGGTTATGAGCATCATGCTTTAGCTGATTCAGCTGATGAAGGAGCTTCCACGGGAGCCGATGAGCCATTGACACAAGCTCAAATTGAGGAAGAAGAAAAACGCAAAGCTATACGTTTGGAAAATCAACCAAAATCTCGGTACGAGCCATATGTAGATGACTTAACTTCCGAAGAGATACTGGCTCAAGTTCAAGGAGCAGCACAAGCTGCTAAAAAGCGCTTAACGACCAAAGAGAAAGCCCATAAAATGGGATTTTTGCGTCAAAACAAAGATGGCTCTACCTCATTAAATTTTCTCATTAAGGATGAAAACGAGGGGCCCGAAAAAGTAGTTAATCTCGGCGAGCTGGTAGGGAAGCTGCAAAAAGGATCAGGTCAGGTGCACAGTTATCGTGATGACAAACGCAATGAGGCCAAATTAGTGAAGACTTTACATTATGGGCCATTTTCGTCTTTCGCACCTACTTTCGATTCACGATTTTCAACTCTGAATAAAGAAGAAACGCAATTTGTTATGCAAACATATGGAGATGCAACAAGCACAGAATACGCAGAGAGTATTTTACAATTCACCAAAGATTCCAGCTATGCAACAATGCTGGCCAATGGTCTGCTCGATGTCCTTACCAATGGCGAACATTCAAAGTGTATGCAAGATCTCTACGATTTGCAAGTTCAAAACTACGAACAACAAGAAGCACTGAAGTGTTTCAATAGCTTGGGTCCCATTATTGACAGCACGGCTAGCAGTGAAACGCGAGCTCAAATTGAACACGAATACGAAAAGTACAAAAATACACGTATTGATTTCAACCGTTTACGTACCCTGAACGACTTAGGCATTGATGTTGGCTTTTTAGATGATATCGAAAAGGAGATGAAAAATTTCGAATTGACGCGTCGTTTGCAAGAACATCTAAGTAATAACTTAAATTTAATAGATAAACTAAGGCAAACCCAGCACGAAAGATTGTCACAACCACTGCCTCAGCACTTAGCTTTGGTGCCACAACCGTCAGCCGAAGAAACCCAGCTAGCTAATCAGATAACTCAACAGCTGGCAGATGCAGCAAAAAAACTGCCGCCTTCAGCTATAGCTGATCCGTATAGTTTACGCAAAGCAATGGGTCTATCATTTGGTAAGTAAAGTAAAGTAACACAAAACAACACTAACTTTTTTTTCCTTTTTAAGTGGGTTTACCACCACCACCCGAGCCCCCTCAACATCTACAAGTGCCCTCAATTTTACAAACACCTGTTACACTACCTAATGTCAACTTTGCTACGACTTCAAACAATTCAAATAATAATCAACTAACAGATTCCAATGTTTCATCCTCTACTACCGCTACTACCGCCATGCCTATGGATTTAGATGATGTTACCACTAGTGCCGGAGGTGATTTAGAAAATGAACTACGTGAATTTTTAGAAAGTGCTCCCGGTCTGCATGCAGCCACCTCTTCCAATTCGGATGACAACAGTTTAGTAGCTCAATTGTTAATGAACTAGCACAGCTCTTAGTTTTATCTACACTTCATAATATTTCTTTTTTATTCTACATATATTATATTTTATTAATTCTTTATACATAATAATTTAATAATTCCTAAATTTTCGATAAGAGATGAATCGAAAAAAGAGCTTTTTGTTTGTTGAAATTTGTGAAAAATTTTCTTGAAAAAATAAATACGAGATTGGATTTATAAACTCGTGACAAATTTTGTTACCTCTCGAAAGTTTCATTATCACATCAATGTGTGTTTTCGTAGTTTCGACGTTAGCAGAATTCTAAAATAACATAAATGATATAACTTCGTAAGTTGTGTACTTTTATTATTTCACTTACTTCAATTGTGTCATATATCAGCTATATTTTATTTATATATATTTGTTGTTAGGAGTAGTTTTGACAAGTCTAAGTAAAGTTCGGTTAACAAAGGATTTGGACACGCGCAATGTAATCGTCCCGGCTCTTTATTTCATAAATTTGTTGACTTTTAGTCGATGGCAAACTTCTCCCAACTTGTCATCTTGCCACACTTAAATTAGACCTCGGTCTCTGGAAATAATTTTGATTGCTTGTTTTGTAGTCCTGAAACGCTAAAATGTCGCTTTCATTTCATAACTCGACGTGAAATTTGCTTGAAATGCAATGGTTACAAATACGACTGTGTACTTTGAGAACTATACCTGATATCTCTGATATAAAAAAAGAAGACTCTATATCCCTAAAAACAACTAACCAAATTCGTAAATTTTCCTTGCAGTTTAACAACAAAGATCACCACTAAAAAACCAATGCTCCAATACTGCTAAAAACAACATAATAATAAATCGATACTGTTAGGCAAATTTCGACATTAACCGAATTTATAGGAACCAAGTCCTTTAAGTTTTATTTAGTTCGTATGTAATCGGGATTTCCTTTCAAGGCCCAGTTCAGCGCTATTTTCGATTCGAAATAACAATTATTTCAATATAAAATAGAACTAACTTTCAAAGTAGGTTCTTCTATACTGTCTAAAATGAAAAATCTATGTAACATCAAAAAGGGATACACCCCCAAAAGAATTTTAGAAGACCACAATACTATCTTATAATAATTCGCAATTAATAGCAACAATTGATCATACGTTGTTGACGAAAATTTATTAGGTTACTATTATTATTATAAATTTAGCCAGAGAATAAATTCTAAGACTAGAAGTCTTTAAAGCACTAGCAGCATCTAAGGCTTTCGGGTTTACTGAAAAGTCTACCGCATATGAGATTTGAACCCACGACCATTGGAGTTGTTAGTCGAGACTCTTGCCTGCTTGCCCAATCAAGCGGATTTATTAAAGTTATTTTTATCTTTTACTTTCAAAATTCCAGACCTTGTCTGACAAGTGAATTCTGAAATATGTATCTCGTTTATTGTTTCTTAAGCAGAATCTAAGAACTCGTTTATTGGTTACCTGAGACTACATCTCTGGCTATGAACTTTCTTTTTGAAGGCATAAAGGCATGGCCAAAATACCTACTACTATATGAAATTATTTCTCACTTTCATTACAGTTCGACATAACTACCAACGATATATTCTCTTTATAGGCTACAGGTGTTTCTCTCTTTCATTATTGATTATTTTGATTGGCTTACAAATTGTACCACCGCAGATGGCTCTTGTTATCTTATACCATATACGGAGCTGTTATTGAAATCATACGAAACGATAAGAAGCTTATCGTATTCCTAAGAGAAACAAAAAGAACAAATTTTGTCCTATTGTTTGCATTACTCAGAGTTGTTTATTCGAATTGTTCTACTTTGTTGCCCTGTCAAATAAGCCTCTGACCGCCATGAAAACTTTGGCGTTAAGCATATATAGTATCTATGATTTACTCCTTTTTAACTTGTGAGATAAATGAGAAGAAATGAATGTCGAGCTTATTCGAAATCGACTGTTATAAATCGATTCTTGTTTTCATTAGTTCAATCCTAGCGACCACTTTTCGTGGAGCGAATATGAAACCAGTCGTCAACTTCTTATAAGAGGTTATTATTAAGGAATTTTACTCTAGTTATTTATATTACGTTTGCGATAATTACAGGTCAGCGTTTCCGAAACTAAGCTTTAATGTTTAATTGTTACATAATTTATGAAAAGTTAAGCAAATCCCTACTCAGCTATGCACTCACAGAGAACTGCTTTGAATACTCTGCATGGTTTGTTGTATCCTGGCTTTTATGAGACGAGAATGCTAATGGTAGGTCGCTTCGATTGCCTGGAAAGCTGTTTTGTTAGACTTGGGAAATAATTAAAACTGTATCAGCAGATCGCTGAAATGTATCTTACAATGCGGTAAAATAAACTTGCTTATATAAGGGAAAACTTCATATTGAAAATAAAATACTGTAATGTGAGTCTTCTTCACACACTCTTTCTCGATGCAGAATGCAAAGCTTTATCTTCGATGTAATCCCCCCTATTAGTTCCGCGTAATCCTCCCTATTAATTCCGCGTAGTATAAAAATGCGTTATAAAGGGATCACTATGCTATTAAAAGAAATTAATAGGAATGCAACGAGACGTTTAGCATAGCCGGATCATGGGGTTTGATTTTGGAAACCACCTGGAAATATTACAAAACTGAAAGTAGCTCTTAGGCAGACACTAAAGTAGTATTTGGTCATTATTATTCTTGAGCTTGCAAATTTATACTTGTATTTAGAACTTTTAACGAACTATGAACCAATAAGAATTCAATTTAGAAAAAGTAGGCAGCCTTTGCATTAATTATCTATTAATCATAATATTTCCGTTCGTAAACGAACATATATTTGTACTTACGTACAAATTTCCTCTTTTTTTTTCTCCCCGTTTTAATCCGCGCTAAGAAAACGATAGTCTCTGTTTTTATCGATCAGAATAAGTCTTTTAATAAATATTCCTTCGCGTTTCAAAATCTACTTATATCGTGAAGATGGATTTGAGAACAAGTGACCGGAATGCTGCACGATATATTCAATACTATAAATGTGGATGTTTTCAACCGTACAATTTCTGCTCTTGCTCACATAAACTTGTCGGTAGCGCTGCATTCCTGCGTAATGTCAAGAAATTAGCACAAGCTATATCAATGGTAAGCAGCAATGATGAATAATATGCACGCGTAAACAATCTTCAATGTTCAATCGTTAGGTGATGGCGCTTTGTAATGTACAGTGCGACAAGAGGAGCGCTTTGATAGATGTCATCACTTTTTACTTCTTAAATTATGAAGAGATTCGCCATCGCATTGATACTGTTCCACACAAGCGCCTGCATCGTTTAGATGTTATTCATGATTTGACATGCAAATGCTCGTTGAATAGAGTAAACGCGCAAGTAGCATTTTCAATTATTAAAAGAGCTTTTAAAGCATTTTACTACGGCACCGATGAGGGCGGTGTGCCTAATCCGCTGTTAAATAATCAATTGAAGCATTCACAACAATGCTTATGGCATTACGCAGCGTATCGTACAGCCCAAGTTTATGCCGCTTATGAAAATATGTTTGCGATATGTCAAAAAAGTCTTCAATTTAAAATATGCATCATGTATGAGAGAACACGCAAAAATTTCGAAGTAATTTTTCCAAACAATGAAAACTTCGAATGCATATGCATGAAGTGTTTCAAACAAATCGCAGCGGATAATCTAAAACCAGTTGAAAGCAAATATCATTTACATGACAGTTTAGATGTTTATGGGAATCCGTATAGTAATATGATGTCCACAGCTAAAAAATACGACGCTCCCGATCAAAGGGAAAGTGTTACACCTACTTGCAGTTGTCGTATTCTCAATCTGGAAGAGGATAAGGAAACACACAGCCATTTTGATACTGTCAATACAGGATTTAGTCAAGGTCCATTCGAGTGCCATTGGTATAATATAACAAAAGAAGAAGCCGAAGCTGATGATGCCGTGTTTGATTTTAAATTGCCTGACGAATTTAAATGCGAACCGGACATATGTAAGAATGATTCCGATTCTTGTGAATCAATATGCGAATGTATTTGCGAGAGCTGTGAGTGTGAGTGTGAGTCTCATTCTGAAAGCGGCGTAGAAATTAGTAAAGAATCCTTGGAAGAAAAAACCGAGAAAGTCGATAACTACCAATATGTATTTGATCTCAATAAGCGAGTACTTAGTAAAGAATCTGATAAATGCCATGATCCTAATGACGCGTTAAGGCCGCCCAGATTACAGCTCGCCGAACTTCGAGGACAGAAAATGAATTTGAAAACATCGAAAAGGCACCCGAAAGTTTTCGCTGTTCAACCAAAACCACATCCTGCGCCAAGAGAAAATGATTCGCTCACAGAAACGCATTCTTCTAACATAAATACTTCAGGACGATCGCAAAACGAACTCCCCGAAGACATAGTTAAGTTTAAATTAAGTGCTTTGATTGGACAGGTAAGCTAGCTATCTCCGGAACATTTATCTCTAAAGATATCTTGATATTATAAGCCAAGAAATTGTAAATAACGTCACGAATAAGTAAACGTTAAATTAATTGAGGATGAAAAAATTTCGAAGTGATTAATAAAGAAAATATATTATATACGATCATAAAATTATTTATACAATAACAATTAAAAGTACTATAATGTGCCATAGCAATCCATCATTAAATACTTTACACTACTCTACAACTTTCCATATATCGACCTTTTAACATAAGGATTTACATGAGAAGCTGTCGAATAGGTTGCCCAATCCGTACTATTTTTAGTAGCTTTCCTCCTTCGGCAAAAACACGGCAGTGCAAAAAATTTCATAAAAATATGTATTTCGGCGGGTATGTTACTCACAGAAAAACAATACAAATTTGGATCGATTCAGGAAATTATTCTGAATCACTCGGTATAACGAAAGATGAGTTTATCGCAAATCCTTCTGGGCATTAACCCGTACCTCAAATGATGTAATGTACAATGATCATAAATCGACGAATTTGCCAAAGACGAATTAAAGAATTGCAAATTCTATGTCGCCAAATGCTTCGACGAATTTCAATGAAGATTTTCTTATCAAGAAATATGGAGTGAGTCTCCAGAGATAGTAACACCGTAAGCACTAGCTAGCGTGCACACACTTCTTGTAAAACCCGTCAACATATAAAACTCCCGATTATTCCAGATTGTAACGAATTGAAAGGAAAGCTCTGAACCTTAGATAATTCGTTACAATTCGATACGATGCACAGAGATCGCTGCGCTGACGGTCCTTCGGTTTTAATTTCTATTAGACCAAAAGTTTTATTAATGTGATTTTGTTTTTAAAAAATTACGATAATAGGATTTGCTTGATTTGGTTTGGATATACGGATGGAACAAAATTAGGATAAATATCCAAGTTGTGTAGATTGTAGTGCGCTCACTTTTTTCGCCAATTTTCTCTTTCATTTTTTCTCTGATACGCATTTGAACGTCAAACTTTACTATGTGTTCTGCTTAGCAAAAAAAGGCCGAAGCTTCGGATTTGGCCGTTACGTTTCATCTGTGGCCTCTTGCCAAATATGATTTGATAACCGAAGCATTTTGATTTCGTCTCCATTCGTGGCAATAAAGTTCCTCATTTTGTAAATGGTAACAACACGTACGCGCGTGTCTACCGGACTAACTTTTACGTAATAATGCAATTTGGCGCGCCATTTTTGTAAAACCATCTCACACCACTTTTACATAACCAATATAGTGGTAAGTTTACGCCCTCTTGTCTCTAAAGTTGTTATTTAAAGAAAGTTTAGTCCAACTTGCCATAGCTGAGCTAGCAAATTCGTCAGAGAAGCGGGAGGGGTTCTGTAGTTTTGCTCACAGACATTCCTAGGACGGTTACACCAAATATATTGCGTACACTTGCCTCTGATTTAATGATTCGAACACACACCACATTTATTGAACTAACCGAAACGACAGTTGACCCTTGAGCCTATCTCAACCCACCCTACGCATTGTCTGCTCTCGGCCCATTAAGAATCGTATTGGGAGACTCCGCATTTGGGCCGAAGACTCTTTTCAATCTAGTTTCCTCTCATTATAAAGAAAAACTTGGAACATTATTACGATGAACTATGTAATATAAGTTATTTTTAAATAAAAATATCTATTTGAAGCAACCAAAAATAATTTCTAATATCGTTCGTGCTTACACGACACGTCAAAACAAATGTACTCCGAAGGCGACACAAATACAAAAATAAAGTTGTATAAGTACAGGTAATTAATATATGTGTGTCAAATTCAAGATCTCAATACTCTTTGGTAAATTAACAGCAAGCGGCTCCTATTTATTCGTACAATCATTCTTTGACAGTATCGGCGATATCACGAACTGGTTGGTCAGCATCGGCTAAACTGTACACTTCCGTTTGCAACCACTTTGCGTGCAATTTTTCATACACTTTGGTTTAAAAAGCATCATATACTATAATGAAAGCCTCATTTATAGTATGGGACATGTTTGTGATGCCTATTGTTAAGCTGAATTTTTATGATTAAAGTTGTCTTTTTACATCTGCAGTCATATACACCAACGCTGCTTTTTTCTGAAGTCAAGACAAAAACTGATGAGAGATATGGGTTCCAACTCGCTATTGATTACTGTCTTGTCGCTCTTTACCATTTAAGGCTTGACCATTGAATGTCTTCGGTTTTTGGCATTAGTGTTTTCTATGTGTATTAATTCACCGATTCTTTCTCTCAACTGTATTCTGGTTAAATGAAACGCCAAGAGCAGCTCGCAGAAACAGTCTTTTCAATATACTGCATATTGGACAAGTTAAGCGCTGTCGTTCTTATCCCGTACTGAAAATCAAGACCATACCGAAACCGACACAAAAGGCGTGAAAACATTTCCCGCCATTAAATTTTTTCTCAGGCTAGAACTTAATAATCCTTATAGTACGGTTGCGTTCGCTTTTAAGGAAAAAGAAATGAAACAAGATCGCTAAGCTACAACCTCATGTTACAGGCGTTTCAGTTGAAATTTAAAGGATCAGGAAGAGCTTTTGTGTCCGAAAAACTATCGGTGATAACAACCGCTTTAAGTTTAGTAGTGAGAGCAATGTTTATAGTTTGAAGAATAGCTCTAGCTTCAGTGGTAAATATCGAGGCGGTTTCATGTGGGGTATAATTTATATGAATCTACCCTATGACACCCTATGACTAGACGAGAGACGAATTATCACTTTTAGAACCGTCTGTAGAACGAAGATGCTAAATTGGCATCTTACGTTGATTGAGAATCCAAACATCAAAGAGAGTCTTGAGGTTTTTTTTTGCGTATATGACGGCTGCCAAGGAAGCACATTTCCGCTTCGATATTTGGTAGAAAAATCAGATATTGAAAAGACCTAAATTTTTTAGCTGAATCCGATGTAATCGACGTTTTCTCTTTTTTTTTTTCTAACATTCATATTTGGCTAAAATTTGAGTTTTATAAAACCTACCTAATTTATGTATAAATTTTGAAATCTTTCGTTGTTCATATAAACATCAGCAAAGTTTCAAATGGATCTCTTAACGTATGAAAAAGCAGAGTGAAAATGTGTATTGTAGTGAAGGACGAAACAAATATTTCTTTCTTCATTTTTTTTTTTGTTTTTTAATTTCTTTTTAAGCAGCATTTATTGGATTTCCTCAAGTATTCTTACTGTGTATGCTTAACTTTTCTGTTTATTATAAATTTATTAATACAAAAATATAAATTATGCTAGAGATTTTATCAAAAGTCTGAACACGTAATAGGAAAAAAATTGAATTTTTATATTTAGCTGTATGTAATAACACTCTAAGAATCGTTAAATTTATTTAATGAACATATACGACAATGATGTATAATAATAAACTGGAAAAGTAATTACAAATTACATTACAATTCGTTAACTATATATATAAGTACATAGAGACAATTAAGTCATAAAGATACGTAAACAAAATTCATTATTCTTTAAATAAAACAATTACAAATAAGAATATCATAATTAACATAAGTAACGGTTTTATGTAAAGGGAAAAAAATGTAAATTTAAATATAGAGTAGTACAGGATTAACAAAACCTGTTTGTATTAATTAAATAAAATAAAAAAAAAAAATAAAAGATATCGCAAGTTGGCTATAATAGTTGTGTTGTTTTTAGCTTTAAATTAAGTAATGTACTTTTTGTTTTTTTTTTTTATATATATATTTTTGTTAAGTAAATTTGTTTCTATATAAACAGTTCAGTTTCCAGTTTGTTCGATTTTATCCGAGCTTTAACTTTAATTATTTACCGTTATTTAAGTGAGGTAGTAAAATTATTATATTTCACAATAGTAACATCATTATTGCTTTTTAGTAGTATTGTTATTCTTCTTCTTCTTCGTCTTGAAATTTTGATTTTCCCCAAAATATTAATACATGTATAAACAAGTTAAATTTTGAAAATATACTTTAGATAGAGCTTTCGTAAGTACGACGACTGCCACGACTGAGAATAGAATATGTTTAATAGAAAAGAAGTTAATTAATAAAAAATTCAATTAAAATGAAACGAAGCGAAGGGAACAGAAAACAATTAACTATGGAAAATTAAAGGATAATTAACGAGCCAACATTTAAGATACAAAAAATTATCTAATCAAATCACTATAATGCAAATCAAATAAAAACATACATTTAACAAAAAAGAAAGCAAAAAGAAAAGAAGGAGGAAAAGAAATTACTAAACGTTTTTGTAAGTAAGCGTTTATGTCGTAAGGCGTCCGCCTAGAAGGTTAACTATATTCAAACCAACTTTCCATTTACCAGTACAACTCAGCAAAGCTTCGATATACTGCCTATTTAATCTTTTCATAATTGCCCGATAGTTAACCTTCTCGGTCTATTTACATTATATACTGTTCTTGTAATGTATCAGGTTTGTCTTCGTAAAATTAACTGAAACAAACAAAATAATGAAAAAAAACAAAAAAAAAATTTACACTAAGTTGGCATCCTTTGCCATGCCATAGAAGGCACTGTATGGATTCTCTAACAAATTGACCGGTGAGTCGAATTCGGTTACTTCACCCTTATCCAGAACGATCACCTTATCCGAATCCATGATTGTATTTAAACGATGGGCAATGGTTAGAACCGTACAATCTTTGAACTCGGTTCGTATCGTTTTCTAAATACAAAATACGACATCATGTTATTAATATTTCTAAATTATCAAAGTAACTTTACTGAAGATTTACCTGAATTAAGTCATCAGTTTCTAAATCTACGGCGGCCGTAGCTTCGTCCAATATCAATACTTTCGTCTTACGTAATAGAGCACGAGCCAAGCAAACAAGTTGCCTTTGTCCTACCGATAAGTTTTCCCCTCCTTCGCTAATCTCGTGATTTAAGCCGGCCGGCAGTGTTTTAACAAAAACTTTTAAATGTGATAATTCCAAGGCTTTCCAAATTTCTTCGTCCTTCTTGACTTCAAATGGATCTAAGTTAATGCGTAACGAACCGGAGAATAATACTGGATCTTGAGGTATAATTGTTAAGCGGGAGCGCAACGTATGAAGACCCAATGTAGATATATCGACATCGTCTATTAATATGCGACCACCAGCGGCTTCAATAATGCTTTTATTTATTTATAAAATTAAACAAAATTCATGTTTATGTTAAATCGAAAATTTGATAACAATTTTGTAGAATTTTTACCGAAACAAAGACAAGGTTAGGCTGGATTTACCCGCTCCAGTACGTCCAACAATGCCTACTTTTTCACCGCCATTTATGGTAAAACTAATGCCTTTCAATACCAAATCCAAACCCTCACGGTAACGGACTTTAAAGTTTTCAAACACTACCCGGCCCTCATTTGGCCAATTTCTCGGCAGTTTGAGTGTTTCAACCTCCCAAGGAGCTTCTTGTTTAGTTTCACCATATTCTTTAATGCGTTCCACAGCGACAATGTTTGTTTCAATATCGGAAGACATACGCACCAACCAGTTTAATGTTTGAGTCACTTGCAAAGCATACGACACCGATAGGCCCACCAAGCCAGGATTACTTTGACCGCCCAAGACCGCAAATAGCGAAGCGAATAATATAATTAAATTACCAACCATTTCCAAGCGAATAGCCAGCCATCGATTCGCTATTAGAGAAGGATATTTACACACTTGATTCTTATCAACTTTATTATCCGATTCGTCAATGAATCTGTTAATGAAAAAGTTGAAAACAATATGTTAGAAGAAACATCGTTCTAACGTAAAGTCGCGCCGTTCATACCGATCTTGTACAGCGTAAGCTCTTATCGTCGATACACCGGTAATTGTTTCGCCGAAATGTGAGTAAATCGGTGAACGCGATACTGACTCCAAGCGCATTAGCTGCCTAGAGGTGGCCACATAGAAACGTTGGGCAAAATAGTATAAAAACGCTATGGGTATAATGACGGCCAAGAATATCGGCGTTGATATACTAATAACCACAATTGTGGCTAAAACCTTTTTTTTTTTTTTTTTTTTTTTTTTTTTTTTTTTTGTATAAATTTAAAATTAAAGAATTTGTAAAGTAAAAAAAAAAATTTTTAAATATATTTTTAATTATGTGTTTAAAAGAAAATAAAAAATAAAAAAAATAATAATAATAATTTCGTTAATATAAACAAATAAAAAATACTAATCATTAATGCAAAGAAATATGCACTTATTTTTATTGTTTTGTGTTGAGTTTATGAAATATTGAGTGTTAAATTTGTAATATGTAGCAATTTGGCAATATTTCAAAGTGTTTCCGTAAAATTTTTTCTTACATACTTTCAGCTTGACAGTAACTCCTTCTATATTTCCTTTTTCTCAATGCTAAGGATTTTCTAATTTCCTTTTTTCAACTTTTATATTGACTCCTAATAGTTGTTAGTTTGCTTAAGCAAATTACAAATGCAAAGAAAAGACAATTCGCCAAGCCAGGCAGCTTTCGCATGGCTTTTCTTCACGTAGTGCAGAATTTATAAAATAATTTTTAAAAATTCTACAAATCAATTAAAAAGAAACAAGTCAGTTCTTAGTTTCCTAATTATGTTCGGCCGCGACATGAATCTTTTAAACCCATCATCGTTATCCATCTTATATTGTCGTGAAGTGCACGTTATTTAATTTGGAATTAACGTACTTGGCTTGTCGCATTCTATTCTCCAATTTCTCTTACGTGATATCCAATCGATTATAATGCTAAGGAAAAACGAACTTTTCGCTTTGTGGGGTCCGCCATATTCGTGTTAGCATTAACACATTTTCAGGCAGATAATATGTCTCCGTTTTCATGCCTCAGGAACGGTCGAGTAGGCAAGGTATTGCGACTAACAACTCGATGGTCGCGGATTCAAAGGTGAAATGCCGTCGAGTTTTCAATACAGGCGAGCATATGATCTAAGTTATCCAGTAGCTTTTAAATCCTTATTTACTTGCACGATATATAGACAAAAAATAAAAAAATAAATATCTTCATGTGAAGAATGAACATGGAAAGGAGACGGAAACAATCAGGAAAGTGAAAATGTAAAAATTTGATCACTTATGTAACGTGGCCTATTTTTGCTATTTTTGTACAGATGCTGCTGGACAACCCATAACATATGCACGCAAAATTTTCATCTGTTGTGGTTTATATGTAACAAGCAGAAAGCCAAATTGTTTTTACTCTTGAAAACAGAGTTGGTCTCGGATTATGTTGTACTGTGATCGTGTCTTCTGATCGGTTTGCCCCCTTTTCAATACCAACCTGCGTGCAAGAACACCCAATGTTTCTGCCGTGTTTGAATCCGCTAGCAAGCAGATAGGTTCATTTTGCAACCAGCAGAATGTTTACCACAGATATTACACACACAGACAGGCGGACATTCCTAAATCCATTCCGACTTTTATGATGATCAAGAATATATACGGTTTGTGAGATCTCTGAAGCTTCCTTCTGGATGTTGCAAATGTTTTGACAAAAAGTGTACACCAACCACTCTTCGTCGATGAGTATAAAAACATAAAATGGGCGTATTACGTAAACCAATATTTTTCATATATTATCCAAACGGACTATCCAACTAAATATCTCCGAATAATATATAATGGGCTTGCACTGCTTCCAAAGGAAGCGGCTCATATGCCTGATAACGTATCAGATCTAAAGTGTCAGGAGTAAAGTTCATTTAAGTGGCAATGCCACGTTGCGCGTCCGGAAATTATGGAAAATTTCCTCAAATTTATTAAGGGACAAGCAATAGAAAGAAATTCTGTGCACAAGCTTGAGGTGTTTAAAAACAATTTTTTTTTCTTCCTCTCATAAGAATGTCGTAATAAAGTGGAAATATCAAGTAACTCCAATGAAAATTGAAAATATGTCTATTAGATAAACAGGAATTCGCGAAGAATCCGCTTAAAGTTCTAAAAATAGCGAAATTTTAATGAAACTTTCGTTTCACTTTTTTTATCACGGGCTCACTTAACCGAAATTTAAAAGGTAGTGAAATCCGAAAGGCTAACGCGTTGTATTAGTAAAAGTTGAACTCAAGCGCATTCAATTTATCCACAAAACGCTTCCGTGCGATAAAGAAAATCGTGAGAGAAAAAGCTGTACATTAGTAGCATTGTCCCTTAAGCAGACTATCAATTATTCGAAACAAAATTCTCGAAACCATATGCATGTAAATTGGTGATATTGCAACAATCTCTTGCATCAAGAAACTCTTTGTGAAACAGTTGGAAGTCTATCAGAACAAAAAAATATATTCACTGTACCTCGGCTGGTTATTCATTTTAATCCCGACTCCGATGTGTCTCTGAGCCATATTTGACTTTAAACTAAAATGTTTTGAAATTATTTTGTATTGCGTTTTTGAACAAATAAAAGCCCCATAAAGTCAATCCATTAAATGTCCTACGCGCGCTATAAAGGAATCAAATAATGAGTTTTCAAATCCGCGCGTTGTATGGGAAGTAGTGGAAAAAGTTGTTCGATCCGAACCATTTTCAATAGGGTTCGTCCTTGTACCAATACCAATCAATGCAATAAATTTGACCAAAATATTTGAAAAATCGAGACATGTGGGTTGAATACAAGCAAACAAAACGGACACACGGACAAGGAAGCTTAGGTCGATTCAGAATGACTTTCTGAGGAGAAAGAATAATAAAAGGGCCCTATCTTAAGTACTTCTGAATGCTCCGCGCAAACTGAACATAATCACAGGTGGCGCAGGGTACAACAATAGTACTTATCGTTATTCGTTTTACGAACACGTGGAACGCTTGGATTTAATACAATTAATACAATAAAATATGACTTGTAACACTCTACTACTTACGTACACAAAAATTCTTATTTTTTTGGCTTTCTTAGGGATTTTGACTTATGACCACACACTATTATCAAGCGGACAATACTGAAAACGTTGTTTCCATAAAATTCTCTCTTAAAAATCTCTAATCTCTTCCGTAAAGATTTCTAATGTTTTTTTACTTACGATTCTACTGAAATATTTCTAAAGAGTTTTTCCCCTCTCTCTAAGATATACTTGGAAATTTTTACTCTTTGTCTATTATACTTGATGAGTAATGAACAGAAAACCTAGAAGAAAAAGGAGTGTTCTCAGCCTATGTCGTATTTTAGGCGCATGCCTTGGCCGATTTGATCCATTTTTAATATACAACTTCTCTGCAAGAGCTTTCAAAGTTTTTGATAAATTGGAAACTGCTATCTTAATTGTTGCGACTGAAAGAAGGTTCAACATAGATATTGGCCGCATTGGACCAGACAAACAGATGGACGGACAGACATAACTGCATAGATTTCGAGATTCATACTGGGCTCTCTGACGATCTTTGTTCTATCTAGGTGTTGGAAACGTTTTAAAGGAGCGGACGTACCTTCGTCCTTTGGTGGTAGGTACAAATATGTATATTAATAACTACGGCAAATGAGACTTCTTTATAATCCAACGAAAGTATAAATTATCAAAAACTTGCATATGGATTAAACAATAAAAAAATTATTTACAAATGATATTTAAACACGGTTTAAAATAACACATAAAATTACCTCAAAAGCACAATAAATCCCTTCGTCAATTATTATCGGTAACGCTTGATCAACGGACTCAAGATCTTTAGAAAATCTCGATAAAATGCGACCCACTGGTGTAGTATCGAAAAATTGCAGAGACATACGCAGAATATTGAGTAAAAGATTCTGATGCAAAACAGTGGCTGCGTGTAGTGCGCCAAGATAGGGAAATAAAGATATCCCATAAGAAAAAATTGCTGCAAACATAATATTATTACATTATAGAAGAATGAACAAACATACAAACGAGCAAAGTGGTGTCCATGTTCAGAAGAGTATTAAACAAAAAAAAAAAAAAAAACAAGAGAAAAAAATAGAAAGAAACCCCACTTTGAAAAGAGCAAGACTACACCAAACTGGGCACACATTCTCTAAATGCATGACAAACAATATGTGAATTTTAAGTAACAAAACATAATTAGTTGAATTAGATAGATTAAGTTTACCTAGCGACTACATTAGTTAGTTGATTTAAAAGACCGATAAATTGCCAAAAATTGCTACAAAAAAATTTGCTTAATTATTAATATTTTAAATGGATTTAGTAAATGTGCAATGTTATCATTAGTTTTGATGGAAACGCCTGCAAACATTACGTTCATATGTTCAAGTTCTCTACAACATAAGTCTTCTGAAGCACACGACGTATTTACATCAAAAACATTGCATTCACGAATCCATCGAAAAGAGAAAGAGTTTTCTTAGCAATTTTTTATTAAAGTCCTTCTACTCCAGCAAAAACAAAAAAATTGCGTAAGAATTTGTACAGAAAGCAACTGTGATGAAAACCCACATACGTGACGGTTGTAGCACCGATATTAATATAAAAGCAAAAAGTATTTAGGGTTTAGATAGGTTTTATCTTCAAGTGTGTTCGCTGTATACTTTAGCTGTTAATCCCGTGTTAGTTTTATTACCAAATGTTGACAAAGAGGAATATAAGTGTATGTTACATAAGTGCTGCTGCATATGTTCTTTGTATATATTTATATGAAAGCACTGGTCACACCAATCTCTGTCAAAGCCTGTAAGCTGCAGTTCAGCATCTAGTATAGGACCTAATCGGGAACGCTTTGTAAATGCTTATCAAATATATTACAAATACAAGGTGATATGTTTCAATTTTCTATTTTTTGCCAACGTGGGAGTCTCAAGAGCTGGTTATGTATGATTTAGTTTCATGCGGTTATGATAAAAAAATTGTATGACATATCCCAGTTCATTGCTTTTGCCGTTTTCTCGATGACTTTTGCATTAAGGACGCTGTCCATTGCCGTACCGAAAAATCGCTTCAGCGTGACTTTTGGTACATTGTGCTTTTTTCCATCAGCTATTGTCGTCAATGTACTTCAGTAACGGATTCTTAGAGTTGAAGGTCGATGTTCGTTAT